AAAAAAAAAAAAAAAATTGAAAAGAAAAATTAGAATTTTGGGGGTGTCTGGGTGGTACGGTTAAGCCATTGACTAAGCAAGTCAGTTAAGCATCGGACTCTTGGTTTCAGCTCAGGTCATGATCTCAACAGTTTCGTGAGTTTGAGCCCCATATCAGACTGTATGGTGACAGTGTGGAGCCTGCTTGGGAGTCTCTCTGCCCCTCCCCCACTCGTGCTGTCTCGCTCTCAAAATAAATAAATAAGCTGAAAAAAAAGAAAATTAGAATTTTGGAAAATCTGCCACCTCCAATTTGATTGCTTCCCAATAGTTAAACTTTCCTGATGAGATTAGTAGTGATGATGAGGATTATTTTTGGGGGTGGTGATTTTTTTTTTTTTTTTTTTTTTTTTTTTTTTTTTTTTTTTTTTTTAGCAAATGTGATTTTTGAAATATTGCATAAAGAAATATGTTAACATTTAGAAGATCTGCATAACTCAGTGAACCATTATTTTCCAAATTATTATACCAGGTAACAAAAATCATTCATTTATGGGTAAAAAAAAATTCAAAGTACAGACAGACCAATGATTGTAACCTAACAAGACCAATGAATTTTAATCAAACAGTACAAAAAAATTTTGATATGGTTTCAGATTCTACATTCCAAATAACCTTTAGCAATACTTGGGTGGAGTGTCACAGAAGAGCACCACAAAATCTAAAAGGCTATTAAAACACTCTTCCCTTTTCCAATTACATATTTGTAGGATCAGTTTTTTTTCACACTTCAGCTAAAACATTTTCCAATGAACTGAATACAAAGGCAGATATGAAAACTCAGCCAGACATTAAAGTGGTTTGCAAAATAAAATCATGCTTACTAAATTTTTCTTAACATTTCTTCTCATCAAATTAAAAAACATATATGGCTAGTTTTCATTAAAAAATATTATTTATGTAGGGGCATCTGGGGGGCTCAGTCAATTGGGTGTCTGAATGTTGATTTTGGCTCAGGTCATGATCCCAGGGTTGTGGGACTGAGCCCGTCAGGCTCTATGCTCAGCATGGACCCTGCTTCAGATTCTCTCTGCCCCTCTCTCTCTAAAATGAATTTTAAAAAATATTATTTATGTCAACATGCACTGAGTTATTATTTTTAAATGACTGTTTTTAAATAATGAGCTTAAAAATTTCTCCATTTTAATTTCTAACACAGTATATATTAGTAGATATAACCTATGAACTAAAGCTCTCTGTCTCTTCAATAATTTTTCAGAGTGTAAAGGGGTCCAGGGACCAGAATGTTTGAGGACTGCCAAGATATCTGGCTACTTAGAACCTTCAGAATATCAATTATTCAGTGTAATAATTATCCAGATGAAATACTCCTGAAATCAGCACTATTTTAACACTTCAATATTTACAAATTTTTAGTGTATTATGATCTTTCTGCCTCTTAAACAAATGGTACCAAAAATAACAGGTTCATTTCATGATCCCCAATCAGTCATTTTACTGGTTTAAGATACAGTTCTAAATGCAGTATCTGAGTTGTGCTATCCTTGTATTTCATTTGACAAAAATTTTTCTAGGTTTCACTGTGTGCCAGCTAGTGTTTAGGCATTGGGAATATAAACAGGAGTATGATCTGGTTCCTAATCTCAAGAGGTTCACAGTCTAACTGGGGCAATATCAATTTTTTAAAACATTAATGCTATGATTAATATTGTGGGAATTATGAACACTACTGAAACACAGACCATGGAACAACTACTCCGAGTGGTTGGGAGTTAGGAAGAGAGGACGGAATGGTGTGCGAATAGACAAAAGGTAAAGATATTGGAGGCAGACCTTTAAGACAGAAATTAGCCAGATAGAAACGGAGGCAGAAGAAACTGCATCAGCAGAAGCATGAAGTCTGAAAACGCTTACTGGTTTTTACTGCTACCAGTATACTAGATTGCTGGTTTCTAATCTACTAAGGCCTTATACATAAAAAATAAAAAAATGAATTTTCTTAAAAGTGCCTACAATTAGCTTAAACTAACTCTTAAGCATCAGACTGAACAACTTTCCTATATATATAAGTATTACAGCATTAGTGCACAGGGATATTCTGAACTCTGTTGGTTGCTTTCAGGATCTCTGGTTGGTTCCACCTGGGATACTGAGGTGCAGAAACAACAGTTCTTCAAAAGAAGTCTTCTCTAACATAATTTAAAATGTCATTTTCAAAGCTAACTTTCATTTGGTTCATAAAACAGAATAAAGATTGCAATAACTCAAAACAGATTTTAAATCACTGCTATAAAAGAAACTTCAACAAGGACTGATAATTAGCTAAAACTTGAGAACTACGTATTAATGCAAGATGCTAATAAATGTGAAGGAAAAAAAATTTCAAAACAAGCACAGGTTACTCTGAAAAATGGATGGACTCTCCTAGCCTAAGCACTACCACCTTTCCACCAACGTATACAATAGTATTTTGCATCAAAAAAAATTCTGTATTCCAAAGAAAGTAAAACTTGTTTCTTGTTTTTGCTCATACTGGATTTCTCTGCCTTAGAGAACTTACTGTATCTTTCCTGTTTCAGCCTTTTCAATCTACCTGGGAGATGTGCTGAAGATGTATAATGGGCCAAAATAGTAACATGATACCTTAACTTCTGAGGGCCTCAGTTTCCTCAAAACCAAAAGAAAATGTTTGGACTGGATGATCTCTAAGGTCCCTTCCAGTTTTATGTTTCTGCAGAGAAAGAAAGCAGACTGAAGAAAAGTGCGTTACAGCCCTTAGCAAAAAAGAAAAAAGACACAGTATTGAAGGGCTGAAAAAGCACAAGAGAAAGGTCAGTTTCAGGGTCTAAGACTTGCAGCAAAGGGTAACACCAAAGTGCCAGCCAAACAAGGAGCTGAAGCAACCAATAAAAAGGATTTGTAAGTTTGTTAAGAGAGTAGTAATAGTAATAATTAACATTTACTGAGTTCTTATTACATACCAGTATTGTTCTATCACTTAAATCTATTATTTAATGCTCATAATTCTTATGTACATTGAATTAAACAGATGGGAATACTAAGACAGAAGTTCTCAGTGCTTTTCAAACTTTAGCATTATATACGTATCATCTGGGGACAAAAGCATTTCTGATTCAGTGGGTCTGGGTGAGACCTGAGATTCTGTGGTTTTATTTAACAAGTTCCCAGATGATACTAATACAGCTGCTGTAAGTTACAAAATATAACTATAAATGGAGAAAGCAAGATTCAAATTATGGCAATCTGATTCCAAAATAAGACATCTGAAAGGAATTTATTGTATTTACAAACAAAACTGGTGATCTATGTGTTTTCTTCATTCTGAAACAAAAACATTTAAAATTTAGCAATAGCATTTCATGAGCGTTAACAAACCAGAATATTATGATAGGAGTCTCAAAGCACACTGATCTACATATCAGGGTAGAGTTCAAAGTTCTGGACATTTTCCACTAATTCATTATGAAATTAGTACTACTTCCTTTCTCTGCATCTAAATTGCCTTACATATGTAAAAATTAAAAAAAAAAAGTTAGCAATAAAGACCCCGACAGTAGCTCACAGAAATCTTGAAAAGATATCTACCTATTTATGTTTACCTGTGACTATTCGATTTTGCAAAAGAATCAAATAACTTCATTACAAGACAAACATTATATAATTTTATACCTTGGAAGATCCAAATAAACTGTTTATGATTAATGTGTTAGTGCATCCTATACAGTTAAATGATAAAATAGAATGGGCATATAATAATCCCACTTATAGAGAATTTCAACTAGAAAGAAAAGTAAATTTCAGAAGTCACACTATTTAAAGTTGAAGAGAACTAGAACTCCCTGTGTTTTAATTTGTGCAAATCTCTCAATAAAAAAACTATTTCTGAAGAATCTAATAAAGGAAGTGAAAGCAGAAGCAGCTTCTTTTCACTAAATCAAGGTGATACTACTTCAGAAAAAATGAAAATGTAGGTAATTACAACCAAGACTGATCGAGCTCTATGTAGGGGAAATAAAAGTGGGCATAATTTAGAATTATATACTTTGAGCAGTTTGAACAAGTTTTCTTGGGAAGAGCTGGTGAACTGGCAGATGAAATGTATTCAGTGATGCAAAACGTGGAGCAGAAGAGCTGAGTAGACCCCTTCCTCTGATAAGCAGTTTGCCCCTTCTGAAGAATTTTTTTACAACCAGAACAGGAAACCTGAATAGCTGTGGTTGAAACTGAAGGAAGCATTTTATTCATGCCAGATGATGTCAGAGAAAGCTGAATGCTTGTAGTCAACTGTGGAGCTATAAACACAAAACAGGAAGGAAGAAAATTAGTATTTACATAAAATTAAGTATGCATTCTTTCATTTTCATTTAGAGGTTACTTCTCCTGGACGTGAAACCCAAAACAAACAATGCACACTATTCAAACATATTCTAAAAAAGCAGAATAAATTGGCTATTACATTTAGAATAAAGTGATTCTATTACCACTGTCTGAAAATGTAGTGTTTATTTTCAGTTCATTCTCCTGAGTTTTGGGCTGCTGGGCTTGACAATACTCCTAAAAAAAGAGATGAAAATAATGAATACACTGTGTATAAAACCAGCAGTTATTCAATAGAAAATGATAAATTATGTTTAAGTCTGTTCAGTGAATTGTATAATTAAACTGAACCATAGTACATAGGTGAACACTCTCCTTTTGGTGACCTTTGACTGACAACACCAATAAATCACATTATGTGTAATCATAACTAGATGTGACTTCAATAGTTTTTGTTCACACAGCCCTTCAGGAGCTACTACAAACAGAGGAGACACACTCAATAATGACATCTATTTTCCATCCTTGTTCCAGTCATTAATAGCTAACTGTCTTCATAAAGACCATCAACACAAAAGTTGTTGGACTGGCCTAAATAAGTCTTACAGAGGAATGTTTCAGAGCAGCAGACAAGCTATCTAAATGTGATTTATGTGTTTGAATGTCCATAGACTGAAGAAGCAACAGATACTTCCTAGATGGACAACATTCCCCAGTGACACCAAGTCAATGAGAGTCATATCCTTACTTGATACTGACTTACTTTAGGCTATTTCTAAACTGAATATTAGAAATAAATTAAAACTGGGGGCGCCTGGGTGGTTCAGTCGGTTGAGCGTCCGACTTCAGCTCAGGTCATGATCTCACGGTTCGTAAGTTCAAGCCCCGCATCGGGCTCTGTGCTGATGGCTCAGAGCCTGGAGCCTGCTTCGGATTCTGTGTCTCCCTCCCTCTCTGCCCCTCCCCCCATTGTGCTCTGTCTCTGTCTCTCAAAAATAAACAAATGTAAAAAAAAAAAAAGTTTTAATAAAAAAAAGAAAGAAATTAAAATTGAATTTACTTTTTATTTCATCAAAAATTTCAGCTGGTTCATATATAAACATTCTAAGGAAAATTTGGCCCTACTACAGAATACTCACAGCTTGAATCAGTTTGTCACTTATAGGTTTTTTAGGATATATCTAAAAAAGTTTAAGAATAAACATGAAACTAATTTGGGTAAGATAATTACAAAAAAAATACAAAATTCTAAGGATTAAAAATGTACTAATTCTACTACTTCAATTGAGTCAGTAGCATAAAAACATACAATTAGTTACTCGTATGGTTTCTAGTTAATAAAAATGAAAAGAAAAATGTGTTACCCTTAGCTAGGCCCATAATATCCTAGGCAATCCTTGTATCAATCCAAAAACCCAATTCCAACCATCTATTCTTCTCTCAAATCATATTCTTGCATATAGTTGTGATGGCACTTGACACAATATACTTTATATGATTTGACCAACTACTTTAGGGAAGATAAAGATTTAAGATTCTCTTTTCTTTTTTAAGTTTATTTACTTTGAGAGAGAGAGAACACATACACGTATGTATGAGAGTGAGGAGAGGAGCAGAGAACAAGGGTGAGAGAGAATCCCAACATGTGGGGCTCAAACTCACAGTGAGATCATAACCTGAGCCAAAATCAAGAGTTGGAAGCTTAACTGGCTGAGTCACCCAGGTGCCCCAAGATTTAAGATTTTAAACCCATAGGGGCGCCTGGGTGGCTCAGTCCGTTGAGCGTCCGACTTTAGCTCAGGTCATGATCTCACAGCTCATGAGTTTGAGCCCCATGTCGGACTCTGTACTGAGCTCAAAGCCTGGAGCTTGCTTTGGATTCTGTGTCTCCCTCTCTCTCTACCCGTAACCCACTTGCATTCTGTCTCTGTCTCTCTCAAAAATAAACATTAAAAAAAAAATTATAAAGAAGATATTTTTAAAAAAACAAAAAAAGAAAGAAAAAGAAAGATTTTAAACCCATAAGCCAGCATCTGCATAACTGGAATGTACACTTAAACGCTGTTCTAGAAAAAAGAAAATAAAGTAGAATACTTACCTGTGCATTGTCAGGTTCTGTCTTAATTTCATCCAGCTGCCCCAGTTGTGGTGCCACTGCTTTGTCACATTCGCTATCTATCGGTGATTCTTTCATCTTAGTATCTGATGCAAAGGAATCCACTAGTTCCAAACTAATGAATTTCTTCTTGGGGAATAGTATCCAGGTTCCTAAAATAAAATATGAATTAATGGAGAGCCTGATTTTAAAATTAGTCTTTTTAAATATGGTAGGTTTCTGGAAACACAAAAGGTCTTTAGACAGCTTGGACTCAAGGTTCCTTCACAGTACCAACACTGGCTTTCTTCCCTTCATTTACTATTCCCCAATATAGCTTTGCTGTATTATTTTCTGGTAGACATATCTATGCTTTCTTCTGGGACTAGTCTTCTCCACTTCTATTCCCCCAGGCCTGACTATAGCATAAACCACCAAACTCACAAGTTTACTTTTAACTTATTAAATAGTCTTAGGAGGGGCGCCTGGGTGGCTCAGTCGTTTAAGTGAATGACTTCAGCTCAGGTCATGATCTCACGGTCCGTGAGTTCGAGCCCCGCGTCAGGCTCTGTGCTGACTGCTCAGAGCCTGGAGCCTGTTTCGGATTCTGTATCTCCCTCTCTCTCTGACCCTCCCCCATTCATGCTCTGTCTCAAAAATAAATAAACGTTAAAAAAATTAAATAGTCTTTTTTTTTTTTT